CCCCCCGCCCCCCCCAGAAGAAGCACTAGGACACTACCCAGTTGGTTAAACAGTAACGATTTGTTGTTTTTTTAGAATGTCTTTATATACCCTTTCAGAATTAATTTTGTGGTTTTTAAGTAATTATGAGTTCTTGCAGTTTTAGAGTTTTGCTGGAGAAATTATTGTGACTCTTTAGAAAATTCAAAAAACCTCTCTTTAAAAATGTTTAGAGTAAATATTAACAGATGGAAAAAGTTACCTTGCAATAATTAGTTTTAAAACCTAATGTCAAAATATTGAATGATTTACAGCTACTAATAAAATGACCTTCCAATTAATGTTATCTACAGAAGATATTCACGGTTTAAAAAATAATTAGCTAGGAGAACTTCACTGCACAAGACAAAGTTAAGTTAACCATATATTACCCATATGCTTGTGTTTTCCACAATTTTAATAAGGTAATTTCAATGTGAGACTTTTTGCTATAAAAAAACACGTATAACAGCATATATACCGATTTGGACTTCGGAATTTAATTAAAAAGCGGACTTGATGTTTCTGAAAAGTGCTACAAAAGCTGAATGGCAACTTGCCAAATCCTGTGTTGTTGTGATTTTTCTCTAATAAAACTGCACTTTAAAAATCCTAACAAACTTGAGCATATTCCAAGCAAATCCCTGCTACAAATAAGTATTTTCAGTAACCTTTGTAGTTACTATGAGTTATTCTCAAGGCCAAATTAGATAAAATCATAATGTATTTGTCACATATTTATAATCTCTATTGTAAATTCATGTTGCTATTATATTGTGTTTAAAAGGTATATACCAAACTTTCAGTTGCCTTTTTGTAATAATAGATTAAGAATGAGTTATGTTTTCACTTGATAAAGTGTTGATAGAATTTAGTAAAGTTAAGTTTCACTAGGTTTAGGTCTGAGTGTTCTTAAGTTAGGTTTTATAACTTTAGTATTCTTTGAGGTTAAGTTTTGTTATTTCCTTCTGTCAAAATTAATTTCTACCAGGTTTGAATATTGTTTAATTTAAATTGTCTCACATTTTGTTAAGACACTTGTCTAAACTACGAAGTATAGTTATTTTCCTAGAGAGATGACTATGACTGAAACTGTGATAGAACACTGATAAACACCTGTTTGTGGATGGAAGAAGATACAGTCTGTTGCACCCTTCATTTCATCAAAGGTTTAATTATTTGTTACAATCTCTACTGGTTTTGTTTTCTTTAGGTAACACGAAAGAATAGTGACTGTTATTAATACTAAGAAGTTTAAAAGTTTTTACTTTGTTTCACTTCTTGCCATTGAGACATGAATATTTTGAAAATGCTATCTTAACTTCCTCAGACATTTACTGCTGATATATTTATTGTGTAATGTGAATTTACAGATTTTATGATGAGTATTATTCACAAGGTATTATTACTATATTTATAGTTGGCTTTCCATATGCTTTACAATTTTTGTGTAATTGCCTTTAAGACACGTGTCATTTGAGCTCTTTTTGTTTTCTAACTGCAGATGCATCTCTTCAAACAAGTTATAGAGCTGTTCCTGTACGGGGTTTTCTTACTCTTTGTAACTCCTCCCCTTGTTTAAGAGGGCTTGCTCTTGCCTAATTCAGTGTAGCTTTATTGTTTTTCAGTGCTTCTAGAATTCCAGAAAAATGTATCATTGCTAAAAGTCAGCCACCATGAGAGAAACTTCAGATTAAACCAACTGCTAGATAGTTCTATTGGTCTGTTGCCTAAGACTTCTGATCATTTGCTTTCCACAAATGCACTTCAACAGTTTGCTGTGCTTTAAGCATCCCATAGCTACTATAATTAAGAACCTTGTTTTGAAAATGAGTTAAGAGACATCTTTCCAGTTTAAAGCCAGGCCTGGTCAAGCCTTGACTTTACCTGGATGAAATGTTTGCCAACAGATATAGATGTTTTCTGTACCAAATCAATATTTGAGTCACTTTTGACTCAGCAATTTGACCCTATTAATATGACAGCTGGATCAATTTTGAAGGGAGCTTGGAGAATCATTTCTGGAGGTGGTTATCCAATCCTTCACTGATTTGAGGTTTGTCAGCTGTTTACAAACTCTGAGATGCTGGTACAGTGTTTTAGTAGTTAACAGTAATTCTATATCACATATGTTATCAATAATGTTTATCATCTAATTAATTTCTAACTACTGTAAGTTTTTGTTCATTATGTGTATAGTTTTGTGTTGATATTCATATGCATGATAAAAGTACATCTCACTTTTAAAAGCAAAAGGAATTGATGCCTTAAGAACATTCAATTAATGTAGTATGTGCATTAGAAATTTAGACCACAATTCATTTTGAATAATGAAATAATTGCACCAAAAATTTAGAAAACATCATAAAATCTGAATTCACAAATAAGTTTACTACAGTTAAGCCTAAATGATTCGTTAACATAAATGGGAGAAGTGCCTATGTTCTGTTGACGGGTTCAAAAGAGTCACCTGTTCATCTGACTAGACACTGACTGCCTCCAAAAACATGAGACCCAGTAAACAGAGAAGTCACTACACAGCCTTTGTTGTCAAAACAAGACCAGAACTGCCAAGACACAGTTATGTCTGAAAACTACACAGTTTGCCAACAGAAGTTTTATGTTATCATCATAATGTTGTGTCTCTACCAATTTTCTTCAGTCATTCCCTGTTTCAGGATTTGAAAGAACATTCAGTGATGCTAAGGATCAACATTTTCACCTGATAGACTTGGACCCGCTAAAACAGCACATCTGGAGTCTCAACTATTTGGACCTTAAAATAATAGTAATTTTTTTCATTTTCCT